TTTTTTTTTTTATAAATCATTTGCATGTATAACATAATATTAAATAATAGTTAAAATATTTATACAAAAATTAACAAATATCATTTATTCTTCCTATTAGTAAAATAGTTGAAGCAAAATATAATGTAATAAAAAAAGTCATACTTAATCAAAATTATTATTAAAATTTTTTCAATATATAGATAATTTTATTAAAATAATTTGCATTTCTTGATAATAATGGTATAAATATTTAAAAAAAATAAAAAAAAAAAAATATCACAGAATAAAGAATTAATATCAATAGAAGAAATTAAATATTTAGAATTATTTATGTAAAAAAAAAATTTGTATAATATATAAAATTAGTAAAAAATTAAGTAAAAATCTCTGAAATATAATAAATATATATAGATAATATAAAATGATGAATGCTCAAAAGTGTGTTTTAAGAAAAGAAAAAAATTATCACTAAAGCACATTGCAAAAATAGTTTTAAAAATATATATAATTTTTTACAAAATTGGTTATTCTACGTTTTATATATACAATAGTATTTTTTAATTTTCATTGAATTTATGTAATAAGAGAAAAATGTCTGAATGAATTAGAAATATAACAATTAATAATTTTATTTACACAAAGCTAATGCTTTATTTAGGAATTTTTATCATTATAATGTTTCTGTATATATATCATTAAGAAATAGTGCTTTTTTTTGAAAAAAATATGTGAAGAATTTTTTTTTGCATAATTGAATTCTTCAAATCTTTATTGAAGTTCATTTATTATATTAGTGTATTATAAATAACAAGAATACAAGAGTCTAATATTTTAATTGAATATTTTTAGTTATTATAATGTAAAGATATTTTTTTGTGATTTTCACATATGTTGGAATGTGGAAATTTGTGTTAAAATATAATATTAAAAATTAATGGCTTAACTATGAATCAAAGTGGCAAACATATAATTTAATTAATGAGCTCTTAACATATTCATTTTAAGAATATAAATTTTTTTTATGTATAAATTAAAAATATTTAATACATGCTTTATAATATTTTATATATTTTAAAAATTTATATTATTGTGATTCATAATTATTTTATGAAAATATTTTTATGAAAAAAATAAATTGTTATTTTTGTTTTGTATTTTTTTATTAAAAATTGCATATATATATAATTTTTGACTTGGATAAGACATATTTGATTTATTAACTTTATGTTCGGTGACTTTGCTTGAGTACTGAACAAACAAATTAATTAGGAGCATGTAAATTTGCCTCTACGGTTTTGATGTATTTATATATATTTTTAAATGCTTCGAACGAGTGATTTTTATTTATTTAATTTATTTATTAACTGGGTGTTCGGTGACTTTTCTCGAGTACTGAACAAACAAATTAATAAAGAGCATGTAGAGATGTCTCTACGATCTTGTTGCAATTATATATATTTTTATATGCTTTGAACGAGTGATTCTTAATTATGTGCTCTACTTCGTTCAGCATTCTTTATTTTCAATAGGCATTTATTTACTTTAATAAAAATCCTTATTTTTATTAAAAATTTAAATCCTAATTGAATATTGACTATTAATTAAATGTAAATTAATAGTTTATTTGTTACGAATTATATTCAGCAATTTAAACATATTGTTGTTGAATTAGCAAACATAAACAATCAGTAAAAATGCAAATAAATTATATGAATATTAATTACGCAAAAATTTTATTGTCATATGTATAAAATTTTCTCTCATAAATTCAAAATATAAATATTATGCAAATTAAACTCTTTTATAAAAACCTTATTATCTTTTGTAAAAAAAATCTCTCTCTCTCAATAAAAAAAAATCTCTTTCCAAAAAAAAAAAAATAAATAAATCTTTTTTTTATTTTTTTTTTTTTATCTTTATCTTTTTTAAAAGAAACATATCTCAAAAAAAAAATTTCAATCATTTTTTTTTTTTTTTTTTTTTTTTAATTAGTACAACTACGTATTCTCCATATAGTTAGTCCTTTTTATAGCCAAAAAGGTTAATGAAGCCTTTTATTAACCAATAGTCTAACGTGATTCTCCATTGACCTGTTTTCTTCCGAAC